GTATAAGCGTCACTTGGACGCAGCTAGGTTAGCACGTATAAGCGTCACTTGGACGCAGCTAGGTTAGCGCGTATAAGCGTCACTTGGACGCAGGATAAGTGCCAGTACTGAGAGGTAAATAATAAGAATCACACTTGATTGATTGATATTTAGTAAAATTGAAACGTCCGAATACAGCTTGAACTAATTTCCAAAAACCAATTCAATTTATTAATAATATAAAGTCGGCGTTAGAACAATAAACCATGCACTGAGTTTTACAATATTTATATAAGTTACCTTAATGTATATTATTCGACGTTAATAATTAATTTTAAGATTTTGTGTGGAAACGTAACGAACTCTTTGACTTCTGCTTGATAGACTGACTACTGCGGTCCTCTCGCCAGTGTTTTTATAGAGCGCAGTCAGTGGTCAAACAGGTGGGGGCACTCGTGCGACTGAGTGGGGGCACTTCGCGGTCTGTCTTCGCTGCATTCCATTCCTATCTGCATCCGCTGGCGCGCAGGTGCTTATCGCAGTCACGTCTGCTTCGTGAGACCGAGTCTTCGGTGACTCATCTCGCTGCATACCTTTCGTATCTGTATCCGCTGGCGCGCTGCTGGTGCTTATTGCAGTCACGTTTGCTTCGCGTTTTCCACCAGTGTATTGCTATAGATGTGTATAAGAGACAGCATCTCGCTGCATACCTTTCGTATCTGTATCCGCTGGCGCGCTGCTGGTGCTTATTGCAGTCACGTTTGCTTCGCGTTTTCCACCAGTGTATTGCTATCACCACAGCGCGCGAAACTGAATGGTATGGGGATACTTGTTGGCGGGGATGGCTACGTTTGCTGGGCCATCGCGTCAGTTGGATCTTAGGTTTTTGGGTAGTTGAAAGTGAAAAGGGACCGCTAGAGGACTCATCGGTAAGGCTATCCTAGCGGGCCCTTGCCTTAGACGTTGGGATATCGGTAGGAAGGACGAAGTCTGTATATAATTAGCTAAGACCAGTCGCGAGTGCAATCACAGTTCGTTTATTTTTACTTTCAGTTTCTGTTTCTACGGGTGCTTATTCGATTGTGTTTTTATTCGGCGAGCTGTGATTCTCGTTCGTGGTGAGTTTATAATTTTTTGTGTCTTTTGTTGTCTTTTGTGAACATTTGATTTGTATTTCGTGATTGATCATTTTCGGATTTTAAAGTTGAAAGGCCGAGCGCTCAAATGGTGTCAAATTGCAAATGGTGCTTTAGTCGCGGGACGTGACAATAGATCAGCTTACGAAGACCGCCCGAATGTAACGATAAACAATTAGTATAAGATCCACGAAATGACGAACTCAGGCAGTCTAATAAAAAGTTTTATACAGGCATTGCTACGGCACGTCTTCAGTCTTAATTGTGCGTGAGTTTTTTTGCGATAATTTCATCGACTGATTACACTGTCCGACACGGATTTTTGAGTTCCTATAGCCACTATGAAATTCTTGTAGAGCTTCACTCCCTGAACAAGAATCCGAAAACCGAATTGCTCCATCACCCTCAGTTTTTTAAATAAACGAACTTTTGTAAAAACCCAAAATTTTCGACAAAAATGAGGTATTGCATGAAAAGTAGAAACGTTAGAAAGTTCTAATTGGTGTTAAAAGATAGAGGAGAGTTTCCCGAATATAGTTGCATGCAATTTATTAATTGATTTTGGTCCTAAATAGCAATAAATTGATGTCAAAGTTTAAAAAAGTGTCGACGTGAGCAGTTTCTGCGCAATATTTTTGTATTTTTACGAAAAGATTTTTGTTCGGCACGAAAACTCTACTCAGGATCGGATTCTGTAGTCATTTCTGAAGAAGAAACGGCCCGGTAAAAGTGTCGGAACGATATATATTTCGAGTAGATCGAGAAAATGTTCGACGGCAACATGTACACGACGTTTTGCCGCCATGA